TTTCCATCTTGTAATCTCCATTTCTCTGTCCAAATTTTGAACTTCAGATCTCTTGGAGAAAGTCTGGAGCTCTGAAGTTTAGGGTGTTCCTTGGGGACAAAAACCTAGGCAGTGCTGGCCAAGAATAATTACATCTAGTTTCATTTTAAGTAGTAATCAAAGTGAAATGAGAAAGTTACTGCACTTCTTTATGCATAAAAGAAAAATAAAACCTACACATCTCATTGGACACTGTAAAAGAAAATATTTAACTTGGCATTCCTTGCTCAAATGAAGTGACAGAAGATGATGTGCAATCTGAAGCTGGCTTACTGATTTTATACATTTTCCAACAAAAGCTGCAAAATGTTGCCTAATTCTTTGCATTCTTGGGATTAACTATTTGTCTCCCTAGTTGTTTCCTATTTAGTATAACCCGGAATCTGGACAATTTAATCTCTCATGGCAGCAAGTTGTTGGAGTTTCACCAGAGTGCAATATGCAGACTTTTCTCCTTTAGCCAGTAGCTCGCTGTGAGTTCCATCTTCTATAATTTTCCCATTGTCAATCACAGGTATTTTATCTGACTTTTGAATGGTAGATAGTCGATGAGCCACAACGAGACATGTCCTACCTACCATTGTCTTTTCTAATGCATCTTGTATGAGATTCTCTGAATTGATGTCCAGTGCACTTGTTGCCTCATCTAATAGCAATATTGCAGGATTTTTCAAGAGGGCTCGAGCAAGTGCTATCCTTTGCTTTTGCCCCCCTGAAAGCTGTGTGCCCCTCTCCCCACGGTAGGTAGCATAACCATCCTTCATGGAACTGCTTAACAAGAAGTTTGTATAGGTGAAAAAGTAGTTTGGAAGCTTAAAATGAGAATATTGGTTGAGCAACAAAGAATTGTCCCAATAAAGAAAATACTAAACATATTGAGTTGTATATAATTGGAACAAACCTTATAAAATCGTGTGCATTTGCTATGGTTGCTGCTTCAATTATTTCGGCTTCAGTTACATTCTTTTTGGCACATGCGATGTTGTCATGAATTGTTCCTGCAAAAATTGTAGGTTCCTGACTTACCAATGCAATATGTGACCTCAGAGCCTGTAGATTATATGACTTAATGTCAATTCCATCAACTTCAACCGATCCTTTCCATGGGTCATAAAACCTCTCGATCAATCTGATAATAGTGGATTTTCCAGACCCCCTTTGGCCAATTAAAGCAACAACTTTCCCAGCATAAATTCGTAGGCTTAAATCCTTTAAAATGATCTGCTTTGGCCTGGTTGGATAGTAGAAATCCACATGTTTAAGCTCTATATCTCCGTTAATCTTTTCTGGTTTAATGCCATCTACATCATCGGTATCAATCTTGCTTTTTCTATTCGAAATCATAAGAATTGAATTCAATGCTGCTGTGCCCTTCGTTAAGTCATGCTTCCTGTTTCTGCTATGACTCTTCCAGTTGTAGTCAGGATGAAGAAAGTTTGAAACAGGTGCTTGTATAATACATTTCCATCATACAACAGTTTCCCACCATACCAGAACATTAATGCTGGATTGGCAGCTGTGAGGAATTGTGAGATAAACAATCCAAACCCTGCAATCCAAGACCGCTTATGGCTTTCTTTCCTTGGGTTTATTTGTGTAATCTCATAAAGTTCCAACACCTTTTTTTGAGAATGGAATGCTGTAATGATTCTGTGGTTACCTACAGCCTCACTTGCTAAGTCACTGCTCTTGTTCTGTGCTTTCAGTATTTTCCTAGACATGCTCCTCATTGTTATTGCTTTAGTATAGAAGGAACCAATGATGAGGGGTTGCATAGCAGTGGATACAGCTGCAACTTTCCGTGACAATACCATGCCCAAAATAACTGCTAAAGTTCTTGCTGAGATAGATTGAGTGAAAAATGATAAGCAATCGACAACAAGAGTTCTTACCATGGATGCATCTATGGCTAGCCTTGAACAGAGGGCCCCAGTACTGTTGTTTTCTTTATCAAACCATTCCATCTCAAACGTTACGATCTTGCTGAAGAGATCTCTCTCACCCTTTTTGTCAGGCACTCTCCCATGATCCCAAAGCTGTAATGCTGAATCAAGTTGGTGATGACAGCAAATAGAGCAAAGGACGTGAATGCAAATTAGTCTATTTTTGTTTGACCTGATCTCATCATGATTGTGTATAAAATAAACAGAGAGAAGAGCACCAAGGCAGAAAAGAGTGCAATGGCTGAATTAGTCCATAGCAA